TCTCATAAAATGTGAAATAAGCCTTCGATTCCCTTTAAATTCTACACACAAAGATCTGATGTGTTGTATCGGACCTGCTAGTACCTCTCCCACAAAGGGGTCATAATTAAAATAATTTTTCTAGCATAAATGTGAAATAAGCATCTGATTCCTTCTAAACTTCGTGCATTCCAATATTTCTACTAACACAAGACCTGTTGTGGATATGGTATATATCGACACATTATTTCTGGTACCTCACCCGATACAATTTTCGAGAAATAAATAATGTTAATATTTAGTTAGCATCTTCTTTGTCTTTGAAATATCAACTTTCTTCTTGTTTTCAGAAAAATATATTTTTAGTTGCAAAAAAAAAATGAATTCTCATTTTTCTTCGAATCCCAAAAGTTCTAAACTTTCAAAAGATAAAATTGTTGGAAAAAATCTCGATTAACTTCCGAAAAAATAGAACATTCTCCTTCTCCTGTCCACATATTTTCGCTACCGACGACTTCATTATCACAGACACAATTTATTATATTATTTTAAAAGTTAATGTTTTCTCTTTTATTTCGTAGAAATGCAAAATCCACACAACACCGACAAAAACAAGAAACTGGAACTTTTCTCATAAATTAATATTTGCCCATATTTATTTTTTTTGTTGTAACATTTGCTCGCTTTTTTCTTTCTTTTGTTTTATTTATTTTTGGGTAAATAAAAATTTTGATTTATTTTCTTGCCATTTTTATATATAGTCGACACACAAACAACCAACACATACATTATGTCTGTATATATAAAGATATGGATGGAGGTACGTACCTACAATACATATGTATGTATGTATGAATGTATGTTGAAATATTTTTGTGTTTGTATAAGTTTGTATGCTCTCGTTTTCTCATTCATTCAAACATTTATACAAACGTGATGTTATAATTCTTCCATTATTATTTTTATTGTGGGGGTGGCTTAACATTCATTTAGGGTTGCCATCCATTGTTGTCGATTCGAGTAGAGAGCGTACTACACACAGAAGTCTATATTTATGTAATATCCAAGTACGAGTATTAAACAAAGCTACATACATATGTACACACTCTATAGTACTACATACATACATACATACAATGGTACTTACTTCCATCCATGCCAACGCCATATACGATTTTCAATACGAAAATATTTTTTGTATTTGGGGGGATGTAGAACTGGGACTGGGAATGGGGATGGGGGAAAAGCTCACAAAACAAACAAAAACGTAAAAGAAAAATAAAATGTTTCAAGTATTGTACGTTGCGAGAGTATGAAAAGTGTATTTTTGTACTGTTTGTGGGTATTTATGTATTTTATAATTACTGCACATGCGTATTATTTTATACTTAAATCTCCCTGTAGCAAATGTTAACCTCTCCACCTCCACCCGACTGCACGATCCCAAGAGCTGGTCTTTTGTTGGAAGTTGGGTCCCAGGCTTGTGTGTTTTCAAATACGCGCGCACACACACACACACTCTCAACAAAAAAGGAATGATATTGCTGTTGCCATGGCAGGGCATCTGGGAAGGGGGATTCTTATTTTATTTCATTGAGGGTAACAATATTTCAGCAAAACCAAAAAAAAAACGAACTCGCTAAAGGAAAACAACAAAATAAAGATGGCGTTCCACCAACAACACATAAATAAATACATAAATATCTTGTTTTATAAAATTCAACAATGCACAGCATCTGAAGTGCTGGGGTAATTTGCTGCTTGCCATATCTCCAGAAACAGCAAAACATTAGCGGGGGTTTACCCACCACCACCACCACCATCCGCCCGCCCGCCATGGGGAGTAGTTGAGCCAAAGTACATTTATTTCCATTTAAAAGCGCAAAAAAGCGAAAACAACAAGAAGACAAATTTGATTGAAACAGCTTAAAATTTAATATTAAAGTTCTGCGCTTCTTTTTTTGGTTCGAAAATACGAAAAGAAAATAAAAACACAATAGAAAATTCCCCCAAAGTTGTTTTAAAGGACATTCAACATCATCTGTTGCCAAAAATTCATTAAAACTGGGGAAAAGAGCGATGGAAAAATATATATATTCTAAACTGCCATTGAATTGACATTTTGGACATGTTTAAATTTAAACAAATTTTTGGGGGAAATGAGAAATAAATGGCAAAAATAGAGGGGGAAAGGTTGAGAAATTTTCTTTCCTGGTTATGAGAGGTGACAGTTCTGTCAAAAAAAAAAAAAAAAAATAAATAAAAAAATATAATAATAATAATAATATAATATAATAATAATATAATAATAATAATAATAATAATAATAATAATAAATAATAATAATAATAATATAATAATAATAATAATATAATAATAATAATAATAATATAATAATAATAATAATAATAATAATAATAATAATAATAATAATAATAATAATAATAATAATAATAATAATAATAATAATAATAATAATAATATAATAATAATAATAATAATAATAATAATAATATATAATAATAATAATATAATAATAATAATAATAATAATAATAATAATAATAATAATAATAATAATAATAATAATAATAATAATAATAATAATAATAATATAATAATAATAATAATAATAATAATAATAATAATAATAATAATAATAATAAATAAATTAAATAAAAAAATATTAACAAAATCGATGTCAAATAATACCCCACAAAGATGGTAATTTAAATTAATTCAGTAACCACTGAGAACTTGAAGTAATAGGAGAAAAACATTTCCTCAAAATCAAGACCGTTGATGTGATTTACAGCTCATACTTAGAGTTAGATTAAATACAAAAATAATTAGATGTCGATTGAAAATATCGTCTGGCATAGGAAAAATCTACGGGCCCTCGAAAAAAGTAAGGAAACTTATCTTAAGACAAGCTAGAATCATATGTAACCAGACAATATCTCTTACAAGTCCAATTGTTGGTTATGAACAGAGATGGCTAGTGGCCACATACAGGGTTGCCCATATTCGACGGACCCATCTGGCAACGCCATAACTTTTGACAGAGATGTCACATCGCTTAATGACATACCGCGTTTGAAGCGTCAGTCCAAGCAGATTTTTACCATGAACCAATACACGCCACGCGAAATAGTTGAAATTTACATTCAACAGAAGAAGTCAATTGTGAAATCTCAACGTGCTTTTAAAACATTAAAAAATTTGAGAAGTGCGCCTTGCAAGAAACCATCAAGCGTTTATACGAAAAATTTTCGACTGGCAAGGCTCTTTCTAATCCGAAGAGGCCATACAAAAGTCGACCAAGGCGATCGGCCGAGAATATCGCTGCCGTACGAGCCAGTGTTGAGAGGTCCCCAAGAAAATCCCAAAAACGCCGTTCTCAGCAGTTGGGCATGGCTCGGTCCACTTTACAACGGATTAAAAACAAATCTACTTGGAACAAATTAAATGATTAACATAGCCAACCGCCAATTTTTTTTTCTTTGATTTAAAAAAAAAAAAAAAACATGGGTCCGTCGAATATGGGCAACCCTGTACCGGGTGAATTGGGTAAAACCCCATACATTTTTGGGCTAATTTTGGCCAAACAATCATTATCTGATTTTGGGTTTTCAGAGTAATCGAATTGGAATTTTTTATTACCAGGAAATTTTAAATACCCCAATTTTGTCAATTCCAATTTCAGTGGCGTTATCTGGGGGCTTTAACACAACGGTCGATTTATAAATGTTTGGAGCAGGGTTGACATTTCCAGTGGGAACCCTAAATACCAAACAATAGTTAATTCCGTCGGAAAATGCAGGCAAATATTCAGAGTATTTGAAATCGCACCGTTGTTTATGGGGCTAACATCAAAATGTGAACTGACTCAAAAGTTTTTGGAGTTGACATTTTCAGGACTTCAGATCTATTCCTAAACCAAATATCAAAATTTGTACCATTCAGAACTTTTCATAAAATTATAGTACATACAGGGTGAGATACAAAAAAACCTGCAACAAAGTAAAACGCAATAATTTTTACATTTTTTTAATCTTATTGAGTGAAAGCAAAAAATGTCGGAAACAGCATCAAATTTTAGAATAAGTTTAGATTTGTTCGAATTGGTCACCTTTGGCACGAATTATGGCCTTTAAACGGCGAATGAAACCGACACACGCTGCTCGAATGTTGCTCCGCACAAAAGTCCAACGAATTGGTATCCGAAGATTTTGGTGGCAATTGTGCGCTGGAAATGAAGCGAGGAACCTCATTTTGTAACCATTCTTGGTTGGCGCGTGCTGAGTGCGATGGTGCTGAGTCCTCTTGGAATGTCCAAGGTCTGCGGCCAAAATATTTGCGTGCCCAAGGCTTTAATACACACTCCAAAATATTTTCGCGATGATATTCGGCATTTATTCTAAAGCCACGGTCGATTAATACGAGCAGAGAGCGACCATCGACTGTTATGACGGCACACACCATCACCGTGGCCTGCGCTTGAGTTCGGCCAAGCGAAGCAACTGTTTTGAGTCTAGTTTCTTGCAGTTGCGGTGTAAGTTCTTGCACTTTTTGGAATTTTCAATATTCGTCGAAAGGAATATTGCGATATGTTCAGCTCACAAGCCATTTTTGGGCCACTGCGACGCGGGTTTCGATCAAGTCGCTTCTTTACTTTTCTCACCATTTCTGCTGATGTTGTTCACTCCACTTCCTTGACGTCGGGATACGCTACCAGTATCACGGTAACGAGCGATGGTATGGGACACAAAAGATTTATTCAAATTTAAATGCTGGAGTGCTCTAGCGATAGCCACTTGTGGTTTTCCATCCAAATATCCAAGAAAATCAAGTTTCCAACCCATTCTCTTTAAAAGCGTTAAGAAGTTTTAACTCCTCTAAACTAAAAACGAAAGCGAACTTATAGCTAAAATATCATTCCTTGTCTTCTAAATTTTTTTTAAAGAACATCATCTTCAAATGCCATAAACTAATTTTCACTTTCTTCTCGTTTCGTTTTAGGTGTGGTTCAAGAATCGTCGTGCCAAGTGGCGTAAACGTGAACGCAATGCCATGAACGCCGCCGTTGCTGCTGCCGATTTCAAGTCCGGTTTCGGTACACAATTTATGCAACCCTTTGCCGATGATTCCCTCTACTCATCGTACACGTATAACAATTGGACCAAAGTACCCTCACCGTTGGGCGCCAAACCGTTCCCATGGCCGGTAAATCATTTGGGTTCGATGGTGACGACCAATCATCATCAGAATTCGGTGAATTGTTTTAATACCGGTGCCAGTGGTGTGGCGGTTAGTATGAATAACACGATGCTGCCCGGTACCATGGGTACAACATTGACAAATAGCAATGTTGGAGCTGCTCCCTGCCCATATAGTACACCTGCCAATCCATATATGTATCGTGCAGCGGCAGAACCCTGTATGACATCGAGTATGTCGTCGAGCATTGCCACGTTACGTCTGAAGGCCAAACAGCATACGACCGGTTTTAGCAGTCCCTATTCGGCCCCATCACCGGTATCGCGCTCAAATTCGGCGGGTCTTTCGGCATGCCAGTATACCGGCGTGGCTGATGTTGTCTGAGAAAACGCCCTTGGGGCTTTGCTGAATCAACACCAACACCATTTGCATAATTTTTCTTCGGGTAATCATAGTGGTTCAAGCGGTAGTGGCGGAGGCGGCGGCGGCGGCGGTGGAGGAGGTAGTAACGGCAACCATTGTGTTAACTTGAATACAAATCTACAACATCATTTAAATCATCATGGCAACAACAATTCCTTGCTGCACAACAACAACTTGTTGATGGATCACCATCACGGTGATGGCGGTGACAACAAATCGCCGCATGATCATCAACATTCCGATATGGGTGGCAATGGTGGTGGTGGTGGTGGAAATGGTGGCAGCGGTAGTGGAGGCAGTTCGAATGGTCTCATGGGCTCCAATGGCAACACTGATGGCGGGGAAGACGACGAAGATGTTATCGACTAAAGCAAGTCCCTGGAAAATTACAAACAACCGCCAATCTCTCCACAGGGGGGGAAATATCAAAATCTTAGATTTAAGTTCTATGGAAATATAGTTGAAAGAAAGGAGAGAAATCAATCAACGTGTTTTTTAGCAAAAAAGTAATAATTGTTATTTGTAAAAATCCAAAGAAAAAAAATGAAAAAAATCGACGTAAATGATAAAAAGCCCAAAAAATCAGTCATAAGTTCGTAGTTTTCTAAGACAAGATAATAATAACGAAATTGTAATTTATAAAATATGAGATCAAATGTTTTTGGAAACCGATAAGAGAAGAACACAACCAATGATGCAACCCAGCGAATTTTTCTTAAAATGAAAACCGCTGACACAGAGTTGCCATGTGTTTTTGTGTTTAGTTTCCAAAAGTAATAAATATGGTAAAATGTATTTTTTAAAATACTTAAAAAAAGAACAATAACTACTTTAGATCGTAAACATAATTTTTATTTCATTATTTAACATGAAAACCAAAGCAAACTATATTTAAAATCATGATTTCATTTATTTTTCTGGTCATAATTTTCCGTTCAGTTGTGTTAAGCGTAATTTAGTAGTCACAAACGAAAACCCCAAAAATTGTAAATATTAAAGAAATTTTTAGGATAACAATCCCCCAAAGAAGTATCGACAACAAAACCAAAAATTATTTTAATTTATACCAAAAAAACAAAATCAATTATTTAAATAATTTTTTTCTTTAGCATTTCTTTTCTCATTTTTCATTACTCCCTTAGACGATTTATTTGCATTTCTTTTCATTAATTTCAAAAAAAAATGTATTTCAATTTTAGATTTTTATTCAAGAAAAATACCTATTTTCAATAATTTTAATTTTAAGTAATTTTTTATTGTAATTCGTGTTATTGCAAAACCTATAAATAGACTTCTTATCATCTCTATACATATTATTATTATTATTATTATTGTAATTGTAAAACAAATTAAAAATATGAATAATCGAAGATAAAACCAAAAAAAAAAAAAGATTAAAATATCTCTAATAAATCCACACAACAACAACAACAATAATAAAAACAACACAAACAAACAACCGTTTTTATGATGTTGTCTAGTCGTATAAAAAATTGAAATATAACAACAACAAAATTATTAATAATTCAAATTAATACAAAACAAACAAACCAAAAAAAACACATGTCTAGTTTCTAAGGACTTTAATCAAAACAACCACACAAAAAAAAAGGAAGAACAATAAAAATTTAATAAAAATCCAAAAATTTAAGTTTTTTAAACAATATAGATGCCGGGGGGAGAAGGGAGTAGCAAATTTTGTTTGTGATCTCCAACAGAATATTACTGATATCCCAGACTCAGAAGAGTACGCAGATATATATTTCTAAATCATTTCGGGAGGCCAACTAGAAAAAAATATTTCTTTTCCATGCAAAATGTACAAAAAAAAAGGTAAAAAGGAGGCGAATTCAATGCCCCTAACCAGCGTATGCACCTTATAGAATGATAAATAATTAAATATTAAACAATAATTGAAATTTTCGACTCTTAAGGTCTGGTTCTAATCAATTTTTGATGCGTGTTTCTGCAACTATGTTCTACATATTAACCTTGGACTATTGCTACTCTTCGTTAGTAAGTGTTTGAGAATACTGAATGTTGAATATAGCAACTTCAGCCCCAAATATGATACACCTAAAAATTAAATTCATAAAATCCTACTAAAGGTCCTAAAAACGTCGGGGTTACACAGATTTTATTATTCCAAATTTTGACCCTTTGTGGGCGAGGTACTTGATGGAGTGGGCCGAAGTTGCTCATCGATTTATATTTGACAGTAATATTAAGATGTACCAAAACAGATATTCCCTTCGAGAGTTATCGTACGCACTAGCCAACCAGACAGACAGACGGACTGACGGACACCTGTGATTGTTTAGGTTATACCCTCTGTAGATCGATATATACCCACTGGCTGAGGGATGGTCAATCACAAACAGTCAATGGTATTTGGTACCTTAAAAAAATAACCAGTTTTTTTCATTTAATTGATTTGAAAAATGGCCTTAAATTATTTTTGTTAAAGACTTTTCGTTTTTATACCCACAACCTATGGCAAAAAATGTTGTATGCTGGTTCAGATCTTAGTTTAGCCACCATATATCGGTACCTCCCAATATTCGATATTTTAATTATTTTAGCGACATTATTTTCCGGAAGTATTTGAAGTTCGTAATGGGTACTACAACCTATGACAAAATTGTTTGTATGCACGTCCAAGCCTTTGTATAGCCCCCATAAAACGGTACCTCCCTATATTCGGTATTTTCATGATTTTAGCGACATTATTTTCCTGAATTATTTAAAATTTCGTATTTGAAGTTCGTAATGGGTACTACAGCCTATGACAAAATTTTTTGTATGCACGTCCAAGCCTTCGTATAGCCCCCATAAAACGGAACCTCCCGATATTCGGTATTTTGATGATTTCAGCAACATTTTTCACCGGCATCGTTTCAAATTTCGTACTGGAAGATACCAATGGGTACTATAGCCCATGGCAAAAAAATTTGTATGCAGGTTCAGATCTTTGTATAGCCCCCATATAACGGTACCTTCCGATATTCGGTATTTTCATGTTTTTTTTTTTTTTACCGGAGTTATCTCGAATTTCGTATTTGACTATGACAACAATTTTTATGTACAGGTCCACGTCTTCGTATAGCCCCCAAATAACGGTACCACCCTAAAGTTGGTATTTTGACGATTTCAGCAACATTATTCACCGGAATCGTTTCAAATTTCGTATTTCGTATTTCGTACTACAACTTATGGCAAAAAAATTCGTATGCAGGTCCACGTCTTAGTATAGTCCCCATATAACGGTTTTCATTTAAGTGGTAGTTTTCGGATTTTTTTTTTTTTAATTTTTCAATTTTCTTTAAAATGGTGGAAGGTATTAAAAGTTCGGCCCGGAACTTAGTTGCTTTTTTACTGGCTTTATTTTTTAAAATAGCAACAATTTGGCATTTTTTCAGTTATCTGGAAAGTAATAGTTGTTTAAAAAATTATTGCATATGATTTTTATACCCTACACCACAAGGTGGTCAGGGTATTATGTCTTTGTGCATTTGTTTGTAACAGGCAAAAGGAAACGAGATAGACCCATAGTTCCTTTTGATGATCTGCATAGAATCACATTCTGCGTCGATTTATGCATGTCCGTCCGTCCGTCTGTCCGTCTGTCCATGTATTTTTGTAAACAAAGTACAGGTCGCATTTATTGCCCGATCCAGATGAAATTTTGCAAAGATCTTTGGTTTGGCCCAAGGACGAACCCTATTGAAATTGGAGATTATCGGTCAAAATTTAGCTCCCATATATATCTTCGTCCGATTTGCCTTTTATTGTGCACCAAACGTGTAATATCAGCCCGAATCTTATGGAATTTTGCATGTTTGCAATTTTGCTATAGCTCCCATATATATTGTTCATCCGATTTGTTATTTTTGTCCACTGCCGCCGTAATATGCACTATGCAACAACAATATTTGGGGAAATATATCAAATACAGCTCAGAAATATATTTGCTAAATTTTATCGAGATCGGTTCAGATTTGGATATAGCTCCCATATATAACTTCGTCCGATTTACCTTTTATTGTGCACCAAACGTCTAATATTTGTCCAAATGGGATGGAATTTGGCACTTACGACCGAATTGAGTCTAGAAGCTAGTATATCAATTTTGGTGAAGATCGGTTCAGATATAGCTATAGCTTCCATATATATTATTCATCCGATTTGTTATATTTGTTACCCACAACCGTAATATGCACTCCGTAACAAAGATATTCAGGGAAATATATCAAATACTCAGAAATATAAATTTTATCGAGATCGGTTCAGATTTGGATATAGCTGCCATATATATCTTTATCCGATTTCAAATTAATTGTGCACCAAATGGGCAATACAATTTCGAATTTAAAAGATACAAATGCTTCGGCATATTTAAATTATAATTATAATCATGATTGAATTCTCCCATAACAACTTTTAATTGTTATGCGAAGCTCTACTAAATTAGCAAAGTGATGTAGGGTATCATAAAGTCGGCCCCGCCCGACTTTAAGACTTTCCTTACTGGTTTGTAATAAAAATATGAATGCCAGCAAATGTAGTTAAAGCCTTCGAAATATCAGATAGTGAGCGGTCTTGTTATATGAGGGATATTAAGAAACGTGAACTTGCTGAGATAATTTGCTACTACAGTTATCTAATATTGTTTTAAATGTCAAATTTGAAACAATTCCGTTAACATATGTCAACAATTTCATAAACGTTGTGGTACTGGAGTTTGCATTTTCATGGGTATCTTTCGAAACCGTGCATCAACAAAGGCCACTTCGGCCTGAAAGTTGGTTTCCACATTGGAATCAAATCTATTGGGAAATCTATATCTGTAAAAGAGTAAAATGTTTGTACGTTTGTTTGTCTGATTTTCCAGAGATTTCAGATTTTCCTGAAAATTTCCAAATTTTTAGTACAGAATCGCCTGAAAGTAACATAGGCTATATAAATTTTTGAAATTCCACATGGAACTGAAGATATATCATAAGAATCGGAGTTATCTCCGATTTAGATTTTATATACACATATCTATTGATCGATTACAGATGCAGTCTCTAAATTTTGTAGGTGTAACGGAATTCGGAACAAAAATAAATTTTCCAAATTATATTGAAATAGGTTCAGATTTCGATATAGCTTCCATATATTTTTTTCGGCCGATATCAAGTATTTGTTGTAACAAAGACGCTATGTATCGCCAATTTCAATGAAATTTGCAAGTGTGATGGAATTCGTCTAAAAAATTTAATTTCCAAATTATATATAGCTCTCGTATACATTTTTAGCCGAGTCCATGTATCTTATGCGCCAAACACAATAGGTATGAAAGATTGCAATGAAATTTGGAGTAAGTGACGCCATTTGGAAAAAAATAAATTAGTCAATTCATATATATGAAACATGGAAATAAATTTGTAAAATTATAATGAAATCGATACAGATTTGATATAGTTTTTTGGATGTGTGACGGAATCTGACTAACCGTAAAATACTACAAAATCTATATTAACACCATTATTGGCATCTTTATATGCCATTTTTTAGATTTTATTCATTTATGCCAAGAGGGCATTCTGAATTGACAAAATTGGTCAAAATCGGTCCAGCCATTCTTAAGATATAAGCATTTTAGCTAACATCCCTTTCTTTTGTATATACACATTGTCTACAGGATGAGATGAAAAAACTGCAAGCAACTTCAGATTGCTATCATTTCTAAGCCACTATTCCAGAGACAGCTCATTATATTGTTTACAAGCGTACAAAAGCATTTTGTTGAGAATTTTCCAGAAAAAAACGTTATTCGTGATGGAATTCAAGCGTGGTAGTGAGATTTCTTTATATTTGGCTGGAAAACCACAAGTGGCTATCGTTAGAGCACTTCAGCTTTTAAATGTGAACAAATCTTTTGTGTCTCGTACCATCGCTCGTTACCGTGATACTGGTAGCGTAGCCCGACGTCAAGGAAGTTGACGGAAGAAAACAGAACCATCAGCAGAAATGGTTCGCAAAATAAAGAAGCGGCCTCATTGAAACCCGCGTCGCAATATTCCATTCGGCAAATATTGAAAAATGAGCTCGGGGTAAAGCCATTGAAATTCCAAAAAGTGCAAGAACTTACACCGCAACATAAAGAAAAGACCTAAAGAGTTACTTCGCTTGACCGAAAGTGATGAACTGCCGAATTTGAGTTTCTCCGATGAGCAAAACATTCGTTGTCCAGCAGTTTGCAAACGAAGAAAATGATCATGTTTACTTGCTAAAGGGGTCTGCTACAAATGGGCCCCTTCGGTTGGCCACCAGAACTCAAGCGCCAGCGATGGTGATGGTGTGGACCACCAGAACAGCCGATGGTCGCTTTCCACTCGTATTAATTGATCGTGGCATCAGAACAAATGCCGAATATTATCGCGAAAATATTCTGCAGAGTGTGTCAAAGCCTTGGGCACGCAAACATTTTTGGCCGCAGACCTTAGATTTTCAAACAGGATTCAGCAAGCGCCACCCCAGAATGCTTATAAAATGAGGTTCCTCGCTTCATTTCCAGCGCACAATGGCCATCAAAATCTCGGGATACCAATCCGTTGGACTATTGTGTCTGGAGTGTTTTGGAAAGCAAGGTTGGCACTAA